GGGAACCTTAATTTGAAACTTAAGGTTTGCGTTTAGGAGCATAAATAATTTTTGTCTTTTCCCTAATTGTCATTGTTTCCTAATACCAAGATAAAACATTTTCGATTTAACATCTTTATTTACAATTGTGAAATAAAGATAATACGTTATTCACATTTTATGAAGGCAAAGTAATAAGTTGTCCGAAATGCCAAAGGTGCTGAAATTAAACTATTCACTGTCAGCATGATAGCATTGGAACCTGAAATGTTCATTTTTCATTGCACTGTATGAAATTCTAAATTCAAAAAATAAAAAGTAGTTGAGAAGGGAGAGTTAAAGTATAGCATTTTGAATAGTTAGAAAATCAAATGTATGAAAGTTGAAAATTGCTTAAGAAAAACTTCAACTGGGCCCTCCCTGGTGGCGCAACAGGTTAAAACAGCACCAAGAAGCTAAAGCCACTTCCGCATGAGTTCGATACCCGCCTGCCCCGGAGGTGAAAACATGGCGTGGCAGACCTCTCCTGACCCGCCTGCTGCTCCCCTCAGCAGTGTACTTCATCCATCTGCTTGTTCTACCCCCCACTCTATCTCTGGTGAATCCTCTCACCCTCCGCATCTCTGGCCTGTACCCCAGTTCTGTAAGCACAAATAAATAAATCTTTAAAAAAAAAAAAAACTTCAACTGCCTGAAAAATTTACTTATATAGAACATTCTACTTCTATGGTTATTACAGATAATGACAGATACTGTTTTAATGGAAATAGAAAAATGATGTTTCATACAGTTGTATCCCACGTTTGGGATAGTTTTCCACTTGTGAATGTCATGCTAGCTATTTTCAGTGTTCATTTGCCAGTTTGGCAAAAAGGAAGCAGTCAGCTGCTGCCCTTTGCAGCTATTTTCATTTCTTTCATTTTTAATTCTTTTCTACACTGTGAAAGCCAGACAGATATAAAAGATGCCAAGAGAAGCCAAAATATGTTGGATTATATCCTTTTCCTTGGTTGTTGGAAATCTCAGGCAAACTTCAGCATAGATTTTAGTACTATCATGAGAATACTTTTGTGTTTGTTGCTTTTTTTTTTTTTTTGGTAATAGTTTACTTTTACATCATTCTGTGCATTTTTCCATCTCAGTTGCAATCCCCTTGGGCTTCCCATCACCAAACCATCCGTGTGCCATCACCATAGTCCAGTGCATTTGCCTCTCCCCACCAGAGTGCATTTCTCTCCCCTCACCATTTTTGATCCCGTTCCCCACTCCACCCCCACAAAATGTCTCTGGTATATAGCTGTTCATCATTATCATTATTTTCTCAACTGATCTGTTATATTCCTGCTATGAGAAAAACCATCTGGTATTTTTCCTTTTCTTTCTGGCTTATTTGTTTGTTGCTATTTTATTTTAAATGCTGCTATATGAAGATATTGTCACAGCAAAGTGAATTTTAATCTTGGCCTACATGTAAAAGTTGCTACTTTGTTAAAAGATCTTTCTCAGCTCAGATAATTTTCATAGTATTCTCTAATATTCTATTTCATGAAGACTGTAGATACTAATGAACTTTCAATAAGTTTTACCAAGAGTAAAGCTATTTTTCACTTCAACTATGACTAGGCAACAAATCTCTTAAACCATGCTGTATTTTTAACATTTCAGGTTTTTCTAAAAAAATTTTTTTTAAACCCAAAATAAGAATTTTTTTTTCACCTCCTTTATAATCCATCATGAAATCCTGACCATAGATTTATCTTGGAGTACTATTTTAAGGGCTTTGATCCAAATGAAACATTATTTTAGATTATCTTAATTGTAGTCATGAAAAAGATGCATCTGGCAAATTTCTAGGCAAGATTTGAGAGAATAAATCTGAGAGCAAGTAGAGCTTTAACTATACTAAATAATGCATTTCCTGATGACTTTTAGGTTTACGGAACTCAAATTTTAGCAGTGAAAAAGACTTAAAAAACAACTGGCAATCATAGAAAGGTTTCTAGATGCCATTATGCTTTTCAACATGAGTGACAGTACAAAGTATTATTGATTTTTTTTTAAGATTTATTTATTTATTCGTACAGAACTGGGGTACAAGTCAGAGATGCGGAGGGTGAGAGGATTCACCAGAGACAGAGTGGGGTGCAGAACAGGCATATCGACGAAGTACACTGCTGAGGGGAGCAGCGGGCGGGTCAGGAGAGGTCTGCCACGCCATGTGGTCACCTTCAGGGCAGGCGGGGATCGAACTCATGCGGAAGTGGCTTAAGCTTCTCTGTGCTGTGCTTTAACCCACTGCGCCACCAGGGAGGGCCTATTGATTTTTTTTTTAAAGTACCTTGTTGTTTTTAAGTACCCAAGATATCATTGCTTTCCTACACACTTCTTTTCTCACTTGGATAGAAGTTACTTTTCTTATAGAACACTTAACAACTATAATAATGTAAATAAAATAAAGCATGTTATTTATTAATCTAATCCAAAAATGTTTTTAATTTGAGTTATGTTCTGCTGGGGAAGAAAGTTAGGCTCAAACAACTGAAAATTTCCAGGTCTTTTGGAAAGAACCTTTAGAACACCCATGATATCCTGTATATTAGTTATAGAAAAAAAAACATAATAAACAAATATATTTCACACTAAGAAAAATAACCTTGAACTTAGCTTTTTAAGTTTCTAAAGCATTACAACAGTACATAAAACAAATTATTTCATTGAGAATAAATATATAACTCTTAGATTCTATGGAAAATAGTAAAAAAAAAAAAAAAAGATAATAACATCTAGGTTGACTTGAAAAATCCCCAAGTGGCTGTAGTGTATTGTGATAAACAGTATAGGAAGGAGGGGTTTGCTCTTTTCACTCAGGATGAGGTGATAAAGGAGTAGTATTTAAGGCTAATATTTCTGAACCCTCTGAAAAATAGAAAAATTTAAATCACTTACGATGGAATTATATATATATATATATATATATGGTGTTTATGTACATTGTATACTTTTCATATATGCATATTTACATGTATTATAAATAATATGGTAGTAACTGATTCTCTTCTATTAAATAGATTGAAATTTTGTCCTTTTTTTGTTCATATTTTAAAAAAAGTCAGTGTGTATCAATTTATATATTTAAATTTATAAATCAATAGCAAGGAATCCTTAAAAAGCCTACATGGTGATCATATTAAATATGGATATGGGACAAAAAAATGTGCTGCTATAGTAAGTAGGTAGTTAGTGCATATGTCTAAAATAAACTTAGGGCATTATTTTATTCTACCTGCTCACCTTCATCTCCAAACTCAGATACAAATTTAGAGAACTTTTTTCTCTACATATATAAGTTTGAATAAATCCCTCCAGTTATCTGGAGGGATTCAGGAGGGTTTTATACAATGGAATGTGCACATTGAAATCTCCCAAGGAATTTAAATGTCAATGCCTTGGTGCCACTGCCTGGAAACTCTTATTTAATTGGTCTAGATGTAGCTAGCCAGTGGACTTTTTGAAGTGCTTCACATTATTAAGTGTGTAACTGAGGTTGAGATCCTCTTTATACAAGATTTAAGAAAACAACTCATTTGTTTTTCAGTCCTTTAATTTGTATTCTGTTGGAATTTTGCTGACCTGTACAAAGCTTGTATTGAATAAGTATTCTCAACTTTAAAAAAAAAAAAAAAAAATGTGCTTCAGTCTAGCCTACCTCTCTTCTAATTGGGTAACATGATACACACTGTTTTCTACCTTTGAGTTTTCTTATAGTATGTCTGCACTGTCAGTAACAAAAGTTACTTTTCTAAAGGATAACATAATTATATCATAGCTTTGTATAAAAGTCTTTATTTTCTTACAGGTTAAAGTGTAAATTTCTCAGACTGCCCTCAGCCTGTTTTCAGCTTTATCTCCTCATAGTCTCATACTAGAGACCCTTACTCTTAACTCTATCTATATCTGCCATTCCTTTGTTTCATACTTGCAAAGGTATGTGCTATTTTCTGTTATAGTGTTGGTCATAGTTTAAGAGTAGATTCAAAAACACTTTTTGGAATGGAACAAAAGTAGCACTTATTGAACACTTCAGTCAAAGACTAGTAGGTACTTTAAAAAATAATTCTCACAGCCATTTTAAAGAAAGGGTCATTTTTTTTTTTACTGTACAGATAGAAACATGAAACTTTTGAGAGGTAAATAACTGACTCAAAATTACACATCTAATTTGACAAGTGAGTTTCAGACTTTATGTTGTTGTTTTTCACGTCCTTTCCCACTCACCCATATTGCTTCAATAGTAAAGGCTCACATGTTCATCATAGCCTCTTTCCAAATAAACTTCCGATGTCTTCCCTTGTTTTAAATTCTTTGGAGTAGAATTAAATAAATTTTTGGTTTTAAGGTAGGATAATCACTTTTTCCATTGTTCTGTATAAAATCAGTTTAATCAATTTATTAGTTTGCTGCAGCTATCTGATTAATCAGTGAGTTACGCAATTCTTTGTATTTATATTTTAAAATCTTTTCCCTGAATTCCTTGTAAGTACTGAGCAGTTTTACTTGTACCTTTCTATAATTTCACACCCATTTTGCAGCCTTATTTGGGCAAAATTCCTTATATCTGTCACTATCCTACAAATTGATTGAATCAGGTTGATACATAATTTATACAGAAATTAAGTGTATTCAACCATGAAATTCAAGCAAGCTTATTTTCTTCCAGTTTGAAAAGACAATCAAAAAGTTCAGAGAGAGAGTTTTTACAGTACAAAGTGCAGTCTGAAACCTTAACAGGCTCACTAGGGAAAAATGTTAGTTTATCAAGAAGTTTATTAGCTTATTTGGGTAATGTTACAAATTTGATATTTTTTGTTATTAAGATAAATTTGGTAAAATATAATCTGTTCCCTTACATATATTTCCTAGTATGCTTATTAATATTCCTAATTGTGATATTGTTCCTTTTTGTTACTGCTTCATAATTATTGTTTTACAATCTAATTGGATAATTTTTTTTTCTCCACTAGAATGTGAACCATGTTGCAGGGGTATTCAAGAAGTGGCTGAAGGGGAAAGGAAAAAAGTGCCACTACTTATCAGAATACAAAACAAAACATGGGAAACACAACCACCAAATTCCGTAAAGCACTCATCAATGGTGATGAAAACCTGGCCTGCCAAATATATGAAAACAACCCTCAGTTAAAAGAATCTCTTGATCCAAATACATCTTACGGGGAGCCCTATCAACACAATACTCCGCTACACTATGCTGCTAGACATGGAATGAATAGAATATTAGGGTAAGTGTTACTGTACATCAAATAAAAATAAATTGGTTAAAAAGAAAACCCTTGATCTTTAAAATGTATAATGCGTGTGTGTGTTATATATTGTTGGAGTGAATTAAGCTTTCTAAAACCAAATATGCTTAAATTATTAAGTGCAAGTTGTTATGGCTAAATTATACTCAAAGTGAAGTTAGTTCACATACTCTTGTTGTAAATATATTTGATATTCAGTAGGTTTCATAATATAAATTTTGATAATAGTTTAGCATTTAATGTCAAAACATTTCAACTAGAAATTTTTTTTCAACTCTAGAAATTAACTATCAAAAACTTTCTGGCATAATTCTAAGTTTTGATTAAGTAGTTTAAGTTGAAAAACAGATATATGTATCTAATCTCGTCATGGTCAGTTTTAAGTTTTCATTTTTTAAAAAAGATTTATTTATGCATAAGGAGTGAGAGGATTCACCAAAGACACAGTGAGAACAGAACAGACAGGTCCACTGAAACACACTGCTAAGGGGAGCAGCAGCTGAGAGGGGAGAGGTCTGCTGTACCATGTGGGTCACCTCCGTAGCACCACGGAGGATTGAACTTGCTGTAGTGGCTTCGAACGGCTTCATAGTGCTGTACCTTAATCCCTTGCACCACAGGGAGGCCCCCTCAGTTTCCATTTTTTTTTAAGTGGGGTTCAGTTAATTTGAAAAGATTTTTCTAAAAGCAAAACATTTCCTTAAAACTTGAAAAAAAAACTCTGACATGGAAATTGTATTTATATAAAGAGTCTTAAATAAGAGTCTTACATTATATGGGATTTAAATATGATATTTGCTAGGTTTTAAAATGAAAGAAGTAAAAAATAAAAAGATAGACCCAAACAATTTATTTTTAAAGAAGTGAATTCTGCAACTTTGAAAATTTGTAAATGAAGGAAAAATTAGCACTACTTTCTAATATAATTCCCAAAATTCAAAGTTCTTTAGAAATGAATGAAAAATATTTTTACTTTTTTTTTGTTTGTTTCTTTTCATATAAATCATTACTCAAATTAATCTCTTTTTGGTGCCCCTGAAATTTGCCTGGTGTGTTCTGTCTGCCATGCCCATGTTCTTCTCTCTCCACTTGCCCCATTCCTCTCATCTTTCTAACCAGTAAATTTTGCCCTTTCTTCAACACCCTAGATGTATTCTACCTATGTTCTTAGCCTGTGACAATCTATGGAATCCACATTTTTTTGAACTTCTATGACTCCTCTTTATTTGTATGTGTTTTCTTATATGGTGTATCTTATCTCATATCCAATTTACATAAATTAAAACATTTTAAATATAA